TTTAAAATAATTTATTTTCTAAGAATATTTAAAAACGTTAAGTCATATACTTTGTTCTTAAGTTTTTGAGATCCTATCCGAGAATTTATTATACAAAATTTAAAATGGTGTCTATACAATCTTTCATTGATGACATGTTTATATTATAAAAAAACAAAAACAAAAATAAAACATAAGTATAAAATAAAATTCAAAAATAAAAGAAGAACTTCATAAAGGAAATATATCAACAAAAATGAAAGCGAAAGATGACACATCAATAGCGACATCAATAATAGATCATCTTCTAAACATGCCTCAATTTAAAAATACGAATATAAAAAATTACACATCACGAAACCCCTTTAAAATCAATCACATAAGTACTAAAATAATTTATAAGAAAATTACTCTACATATCACGATCGCATATGTCATGTGAACAATCAACCCAACATTATTTCACAAAAAACAAAAATTCACTAGAAATCAAAGAGAGTAAATAGTATTTATTAAAATTCAATTAAACTAAACAAATGAATCTCAACACTAATTATAATAATAAATTACAATGTCTTCTCAAAATATTAAAATATATACCACATTTGTCTTGAATATTAATTTTAACATCTTCTTGTATATATTTTTTACAGTACATATTTTAATTATAAGTATCAAATGGTTAGATTAAATCTAAGGGATAAAAATTACGCTAGAGAAATGACATTAGAAGAAATGCAGAAGGGGATTCATTTTCTAAATAAAAAAAAAGAGAATTCTTACTTTATTTGTTATCATTGTGATTTCATTAATTTAATTTATCTACTTCTACATCAATCTCTTATCAATGGTTGATAATTATTAATAGGTGAAATTGATTGATAATTATTAATAGTGAAAGAATAAAATTGACGTTTTTATTTCTATCTATTATACTGCATGATAAATAAAAAGAAAATGTGAAAGAGATTTTGATCGAAAACTAATGCAATGGAATTAATGGGTTAGTTTTCTTATGTTTTTATAATTATTAACTATTTTTATTAATTAATAATAAATAAAAAATAACATCTTAGCAACCTATTTTTAAAAATAAATATTTTATTAATTAAAATAATAGTTAGTTGGCAGGATAAATAATAATATTTTATTAATTAAAAATAGTTAATTAATTGAATAATTATAAAATAAATAATATTTTATTAATTAAAAATAGTTAATTAGTTAAATGAATATAAATAAATAAATAAATAAATATAAAAATAAATAATACAACATTAGCCTCCATTATTTTGCTATCAAAATATAATTGTTCGTGTAAAAAAATTAATTGTGTAACATCAACTCAACACATCGGACAATTTAGTACATAAGTCCTACTCAAATAAATTAAGGTAAATTTTTTAATGATTTTCATTTTAGTTACTTTTATTTGATAAACTAATTGTATTAATGTTATAGAAAAATATCAAACATTAATATTTGATTTGCATTCATTATTTTTAATTAAATATTAAAAATATACATTAAAAAATTTAGAGTATAATTAAAAGATTATAAATTTTTAGACTATAATATGGATTAATTATGGAAAGCTAAGATACAATTTATATCAAACAAACAAATTTACTAACTCTCAAATAAATAATACGCATTGCAACTTCTGTCTCCCATTTACAAGTCTAAAATCTTGCTCAACTTATACAACAACAACTTCCTTTTGGTAGCAAAATCTGATTAGAACAAAAAGGGTCGTCCCAAAAGTAAGCGCATCACAACTGAAATGGACTCCATTGACAAGTTGGAAAGAAAATGTGGTTTATGTCGCCAGGTCGGACACAATCGTAAAAATTGTCCGACTCGGGCTACTAGCTCAACTCCATAAAAATTGTATTATAAAACATTTTTACTTTTTAAAGTTATAAACATTACGCTTTTTATTAATAGCATTTGTTACAATAAACCTTGCGCGAACAACAAATAAAACACGATAAATCGTCTACGAAATTACAAACGTTAAAATAATTTCATCTGACCCATGCATCATCAACATTACCCCGCTGTCTGTTTTGACTTCCTCCAATCAAAAATTAGGTCGTCCTGTCGCAAGTCAGGTGGCTGTTCTTCTTCGCTGGATCCTTCTAATTTGTTCCTCATCCTCGATGTCTCCCTCTAGCCATCACATCAATTCTCTCTTCAGGCGCTCCATGGAGTGAATGTGCCAGAATTTCATTTTCATTAGAGGTTTGGTGGCCGAGAAAATAACATAACCATCTCTGGTGGCGATGTCATGACGCAAATAACAGAGAAAAAAATAAGAAGACAGTGCGAGAAAGTGTGAAAAATGACGAAGAAACAGACGAATTATTTATAAAAAATGCATTTTGCCCTAGGAGCCAAGTGAGATGGCGCCTCCCTTCACTTTTAGAGTGCATGTGCCATCTCACTTGGCTAAAATAGAGTGCATGCGCCAAGTGAGATGGCGCCTAGGGAAAATGGGTCAATGCATGCGCCATCTCACTTGGCTCCTCTCTTGTAGGGTTTTCTGAAACATGGTTATTTGCGTAATTTTCTCCGAAACATGATTATTTACGAAAAAAATTTAATACCTGATTATTATAAAAAAAATCTGATAAGCAATACATGTCATATTTTAAAGTAAATAAAATTATATATATATATATATATATATATATATATATATATATATATATATATATATATATATATATATATATATATATATATATATATATATATATATATATATATATATATATATATATATATATATATATATATATATATATATATATATATATATATATATTTAAAAAATTATATATATAATGAGATAGTGAGATGGCTAATTTTAAAAAATTAAGAATATCCTTTAATATCATTTTATAACTATCAACAAATATAATAATTAATTTACTAAAAGTGAGACTTAGGCTAGCCCTTATAAAATTGGAGGTAATTTATAGGAGTGGTTGCGGTTCAGTTTGGATCGATTTTAAGACAAAAATTCATTTGATCTAAAGATAAATTTACTTACTATTCGGTTTTGGATGATATATTAAAAAAAATTTAATCCGATCCGATCTAATTTTATGCGGTTTAATTTAGATCGATTTTTGGATATCCAAATTACACATTATATATATTTATTAATATTATAAAACTACTAATAAATCATAGATTTGATATAATATATAATATATAGTATATTAAAAGTTAATATCAAAAAATAAGAGTTATCGATTATGATTGAAATAATAAAAATAAATAGATTATACCAAACTAATAAATATTATTAAAAAAATTATTATCATCTAATAATAAATTCACGTAACATATCATACTAATAAAAATTAAATAAGTATAAAAATATATATGTCATTCGGTTTGGTTTGGATCGGTTTTATCCTCACTTGATTTCCAATTGTCTTTCACTTCTTTCCAACTCAAATGAAGAGTTTCAGCAATAACTTCGAACTTTGGCTTCTCCGGCGCTTGGACAAACGGAACTTCATCGGACAACTTGATATTAAGTAGGTATGCGTACTCTTCTAGTGTGGGAACCAGTTGATAATCTTGAAAAGTAAAACACCGTAATTCCTTGTCATAGAACTGGAAGAGGGTGATCAAAGCCATTGGATCAACTGGAGTGTTAAGGATTAGTAACAAATTGTCATAATTATTCAGAACATCACCCTTCAGATAAGAACTCAACCTCTTCAATTCGGACACATCAATCAATAGTAGAAATCTGATAAGCGATTTTTTGAATCGGTTTTCAGTTTTTTATTTGGATTTGTTTGGATTTGAACACCCCTAGTAATTTATCCTCATGACATATACTAATGAAATTTTATTTTATATAAAATTAATTTTTAAAATCATATATTAATCAAAAACTTTAAAATATTGAGTCTATGTCTTTTCTCATTTAAAAAAAAATTCAATATCCTTTTTTTCATCCAATGTAAGAATCATTAGTCACACTTCACACCAACATCTTACTACTAAAAAATCTAATTATATATTATTATTTTTATTTTATTTTGATTTTTTAAGATTTTAGATTAATATCTGATTTTCAATTTTATTTTATATGATAAATTTTGATAGGTACATGTCATAAGAAATAAATTTATAAGGGAGATTAAAAAATTTAGTTTTATTAAATATTCAAAATTATTTTGAACTTCCGGTCATTAATTATCAGTTATTTTTACCGAATAGCGTTTAAAAGTTAATTCATAGATCAGTTGACTCTAGAGTTTAGTGACTGAAGACAATCATGCATGAATTTTTACCATGACACTGAAAGGTACCTTTGAGATTTTAACAAAAACCATAATGAAATCTAACAAAAACAAGTAACACAGGCTGTGCCACCCTACCATACCAAACAATGCACCTGATTATATTTCAATAAATCAATTAAATATCAAAATAATTCAAGATTATCAGCTGGACGGTGGTTCATTCTTCTTACATCCTAAGCAACAAACATGACCCTACTTATGTGTGATCATGCAACAGGCTTCACACACATCAATTTAATATCTAAATATATTTCTAGCCAAAATTACGACCTTTTAATCCTATTAAACTAAATTAGGTGATAGTTGTGCAGATACATCAGTCTTCAGATACGTGGTTTTTAATCCGTGACATCTTATTTATTCACTTTTAGATGACTAATTTTTATTTTATTTTTGGACCTTTTTCATTTTCCAAGTCATCAACTGTCGTGGAAGGAGCAAAAGAAAAAGGTACATGAGACTGATGAAGAAAGGTGGTAAGGTAACATGTTGCTTTAAAGAGTTATTATACCATTCTACCATTTTCTCTTCTCCTTTTCTTTTGGACATTCATTTCAACTTTTTGAGTTTCTGCTAATCACGCCACCAGCATTACTCATACACCACCTTTTTCCTTCTATCAAATTCTTGGTCTAGTTCCTCAAGCTACAATTCTCTTTTTCATGATCAGAAGAATATAATAAGATCATGGTTAGTTTGAGTATTCTTTCTGTTTTTGGATCCTATGTTATATATTAACTTTTTGTTTTGATTGTTCAGGGAACACCTGTGAACATCATTGTTGGATCACAGGTTTGGGTTGAGGATCCTGTGGTTGCATGGATTGATGGTGAAGTCACAAAAATCAATGGCAAAAATGCTACCATCATTACTACAGAAGGAAAAACTGTAAGATTTTTACTTGTTAAGTAAAGTCTGATTAATGATTGTTTTCGCAGATATTGAACTCAGGTCCTCTCGATTGATTAATTTTAGGTTGTAGCAGAAATTTCAAGTATATATCCTAAAGACACAGAGGCACCACCTGCAGGGGTTGATGACATGACCAAGCTAGCATACCTCCACGAACCCGGAGTATTGCATAACCTCTTGTGTCGTTTTTCGCTCAATGAGATATATGTAAGTCACAACCAATAATCAACTTCTAGTTATGTATTTCTTTAGCAGCAGCGCAACTTGTTGTCTGTTTGCCTTCTATTTCTGTATAACTTGAATTGTATATTAAATAAGTGAGGTTTAGAGAGATATGAAAACTTCAACCTGACTATTATTAATGAAATAATCAGACATATACAGGGAATATTTTAATTGCGGTGAATCCTTTTCGAAGACTACCGCATTTGTACGACAGTCATATGATGGAGCAGTACAAAGGAGCAGCATTTGGAGAGCTTAGTCCTCACCTTTTTGCTGTAGCAGACACATGTTACAGGTATAGATCAATGTAGAAATAGATTCGTTATATGACGCAGGTAACTTAGGAATCAAGTTATTATTAGAGTTAACTAGTTTAATTTATCAGGGCAATGATGAATGAAAATGGAAGTCAATCCATTTTGGTAAGCGGAGAAAGTGGAGCCGGTAAAACTGAGACGACTAAAATGCTAATGAGATATCTCGCTTTCATGGGAGGTAGATCGAATACCGAAGGAAGGACAGTAGAACAACAGGTTTTGGAGGTGAGTTCGATTTGAAGTACTTAAAACTTGCAAAATTTGTTTCTTGGTTAACTCAAATTTAATACATTGTAAAATTTTCAGTCCAATCCAGTGTTGGAAGCGTTCGGAAATGCCAAAACTGTCAAAAACAACAACTCAAGGTAAATAAATTTAACTGATATTTTCCAAGGTCATTTTTTCTGTCCAAATTTAAATTTGAGTTGTCTTACAAAAGTATTGGATTTTTCGGCAGTCGTTTTGGTAAATTTGTTGAAATTCAATTCGACAAGAATGGGAAGATTTCTGGAGCTGCTATCCGTACCTACCTCCTCGAAAGATCTCGCGTTTGCCAAGTTTCTGACCCGGAGAGAAACTATCATTGCTTTTACATGCTTTGTGCAGCTCCACCAGAGGTAGTCTCTTTAGTCTTTATAAATATCCTGAAAAAGTTTAGAAGTATATAACTAAGGGTTAAACTAGTTGAGGGAGTTAAACGAAGGAAAAAATACTAATTGTTAAAATTTGCTTGATAGGATGTCAAGAAGTACAAGCTAGGAGATCCAAGGAAATTTCGCTATCTTAACCAATCAAGCTGTTATGAAGTGTCGAATGTAGATGATGCAAAAGAATACTTGGAGACGAGAAATGCAATGGATATTGTAGGCATCAACCAGGATGAGCAGGTATGTATTAGGCCATAGTGATTCGCATTTTGATGAGGCATTGGTTTGTGTTTATCTTGACGTGATCGAAGAAAATCTTCTCTACAGGACGCTATCTTCCGTGTTGTAGCTGCAATCCTTCATCTTGGAAACATTGACTTCGTCAAAGGGAATGAGTTTGATTCGTCCAAATTAAAAGACGACAAATCCCTCAACCACCTTCGAACAGTTGCCGAGTTATTCATGTACAAGCTTTGATCCAACTGTCGAATCCATTTAATTCCAATGCTTATAGCCTTCATTGTCTCTTAACATGTTTATTTTCAGGTGTGACGAGAAATCACTAGAAGACTCGCTTTGTCAGCGTGTCATTGTTACCCCTGATGGCAACATTACAAAACCATTAGACCCGGATGCAGCTTCTTTGAGCCGAGATGCATTGGCAAAGACAGTATACTCCAGATTGTTCGATTGGTAAAAACCAACCAATAACACTGCTAATGTCAAAAACATAAGACACTGACACCGATAAATATTTATAATTTATTTATTAAAAGTATTTTATACGAGGATTGAAAGATTCAGATTGCATTCTTCTAATATGGCAGGATCGTGGACAAAATTAACAGTTCCATCGGTCAAGATTCTAATGCGGTAAGCCTAATAGGAGTCCTTGACATTTATGGATTTGAAAGCTTCAAAATCAATAGGTAAGTATGATAGTTATATTCGTCACAGTGAAAATTTATTTCATATCTATATCATAATTTGTTCTACGTTTACAGTTTCGAGCAACTATGCATCAACTTAACAAATGAGAAGCTGCAACAACATTTTAATCAGGCAAGGTTATAACTTCTTAATACTGATTTCATATCATTATTGTTGCAAATGAAGAATAATATAGAAATTGAACTGTTTGAATTTCAACAGCATGTATTCAAGATGGAGCAAGAAGAGTACACAAAGGAGGAAATTAATTGGAGCTACGTAGAATTTGTCGATAATCAGGATGTTCTCGATCTTATTGAGAAGGTAAATAAGAGATTTATATATCAACATTGGTTGTGCAAAGCCTTGTTTACCAGATAATAAAATTGTGAAACGATTTATTCGTCCTGCATGCAGAAACCTGGTGGAATTATTGCTCTTCTTGACGAAGCGTGGTTTGTCATTTCTCACTCAAAATTTCGAAGAGTTGCATATTTGCTTAAACCATAAAAAGGTGAAAATTTATTTATGTTCTTATTTCTGCAGCATGTTTCCGAAATCAACTCATGAGACTTTTGCGCAAAAGATGTACCAGACATACAAAGGACACAAGCGATTCGCGAAACCAAAACTTTCTCGAACAGACTTCATAGTTAATCACTACGCCGGAGATGTGAGTGGAGTACATTATGAATATTTTTCTCAGATTTATGTGCGAAAACGAAAGATGATAATTTCATGTCACAAATCCTTTTGATGTATAGGTCACATACCAGGCCGATTATTTTCTTGATAAGAATAAAGATTATGTCGTAGCTGAGCATCAGGCTCTTTTGTGTGCTTCAAAGTGTCCATTTGTTGCTAATCTTTTCCCTCCTTTACCCGAGGAATCATCAAAGCAATCGAAATTCTCTTCCATTGGCTCACAGTTTAAGGTAATCAATCAATCATATTTCACAAGAGTGATTTGTGAATCTTTCAATCCATGAACTACTTCCTAATCTAATTTAAATCTACAGCAACAACTTCAATCTCTGATGGAGACACTAAGCACCACAGAACCACATTACATAAGATGTGTGAAACCAAATACAGTTTTGCAGCCGGGAATATTTGAGAACTTCAATGTCTTAAACCAGTTAAGATGCGGGGTGAGTTTCATTTTTCCTGTTGTCTATAAAATGAACGACAGTTTAGTGAATTCGAGAAAATTTTGCTAATGACATTTACATACTCCACAGGGAGTTCTTGAGGCAATAAGGATAAGTTGTGCTGGATATCCAACAAAAAGAACATTCGAAGAGTTCCTTGATCGATTTGGAATGCTAGTCCCTGATGTCCTTGACGGGTATATATTATTCTAGTATCTCTCGAGACTTATAAAATGATCAGTAATTTTGATTAATAATAATTTCCCATATATATATATATATATATAAACATGATCATTGTTTTCTCGTGTACAGATCCGACGAGAAAAAAGCATCTATTTCCATATGTGATAAGATGGGTTTAAAAGGCTATCAAGTAAGTCAATAGATCGACAAAAAATGTTATGTAGATGTAAAAAGCATAATTTTTTGTTAAACCAGGATTTATGTTTTAAGCTCGAATGCATTCTCTTGAATGATTTTTTGATCAGATGGGAAAAACCAAGGTGTTTCTTAGAGCTGGTCAAATGGCTGAATTAGATGCACGAAGAGCCGAAGTCTTAGCTAAAGCAGCTAGACTCATACAGAGACAAATCCGAACACATTTAGCTCGAAAAGAGTTCATCACCATGAAAAAGGCCACAATCCGTATTCAGAAAACTTGGAGAGGTCGCTATCTTCACAAAATACTAACTTGTATTTGTGTAACTGTTCTCCCTTTGTTTAACTGATCTTAGTTATTTTTCTTACGCTTCTTTTATCAGCAAAACTTGCACGGGAGATCTATGGAGATATGAGGAGAGAAGCAGCTTCTATACGGATACAGAAACAGGCACGTGCACATAGAGCAAGATTGTATTATACATCATTACAAGCATCCGCTATTGTTATTCAGTCAGGGTTGAGAGCATTTGCAGCACGAAACGAATATAGGTTTAGAAGAAGAACAAAGGCTTCAACCAAAATTCAGGTAAAGACAACTTAGAAGGAATCCTTATAAATTTGTGATAATATTGATAAAAGGTTCATTAAAATGTTCAACTAAATTATCATCCATGAAAATTTGAGGAAGCTTGAGATACAAGCAAGCAAAATATAAATTGTACTACATTGATGATTCTTATTATTCAAGTTGATTTCTTCTTGCAGACACAATGGAGGAAAGTTCAAGCTCTTTGTACTTACAAGCAGCAGAAGAAATCAACTGTTACACTTCAATGCCTGTGGAGGGCTAAAGTAGCACGCAAAGAGCTCAAAAAGCTTCGAATGGCGAGTCTTACTTCTATGTATCATTTTCTATAATTGTATTCCAGTTCATGTAGAATATCTATCTATAGTAAGAGTTTGAAGTTGTTATGCAGGCTGCAAGGGAAACCGGGGCACTTAAAGAAGCGAAAGACAAACTGGAGAAACGCGTCGAGGAGCTTACATGGAGACTAGATATTGAGAAGCACATGAGGGTATGTATAGTCTCTCAAATAGTCACCATCAAAAACACTAGATTTTCTCCGACACGTCTAACCTAGAAAAAATGGCATGAATGCAGGTTGACCTTGAAGAAGCTAAGGGGCAAGAGATTTTGAAACTGCAAAATGCGTTACAAGAAATGCAAGGTAAGCTAGATGAAGCTCATACAGCAATTATACATGAAAAAGAAGCCGCAAAAATAGCAATTGAACAAGCACCACCAGTGATAAAAGAAGTACCTGTTGTGGATAATACCAAGTTGGAGTTACTCACAAATAAAAATGAGAATCTAGAGGTAAGCACAAATATTATGTTGTCTGATTCGATTATCCTAGTTTAGGAAATAAATCTATATTAAAAATTATGATGCCGAGAAATTACATTGAAATTCTTAAAATGCAGAGTGAAGTAGAAGAGCTTAAAAACAGGATCAAAGATTTCGAAGAAAGGTATAAGGAAATTGAAAAGGAAAGTCAAGAAAGGCTGAAAGAGGCAGAAGAAGCACAGCTTAAAGCAACACAACTTCAAGAGACTATTGAAAGGTTGTTAAGAAAATAGTTAGCTTCAAATATGTATATCTCTCTCTACTATCATAAACTAGCATGCATTAAATATCGATTCTTTATTACTACAGATTAGAATTGAGTTTGTCAAACCTTGAGTCAGAGAACCAGGTTCTTTGCCAGCAAGCTTTGGTAGAATCGAAAAACGAAGATCTCTCGGAAGATATTAAAATGTAAGATTCAATAATATATTTTCTTCATTTATTATTACTATTTTTTCCGGCTAGAGTGATATTTCCATGGTGTTTCCAGCCTCAAGGATCAAATAGCAAATCTAGAATCAGAGAATGAAGTTCTTCGGAGCCAGGCAGCAATAGCTGCTGTAGAGCAGAAAGTTCATCCAGAAAAACTAGAAACCGATCAGGAAGTTGTTGTCGAACATCAGATTCAACAACCAAGAACTATTGCAGATAACGCGACAGCGCAAATCAAGGTACATTAAAATTGATCTTTTCCTTAGAATTATTTCCTTATTTGACAATTTTATATTTTATCATCCGATAGGACTTGGACAATCGAAATCAAGTAGATGAAGAACTGCATGCAAGAAAAGTATTTCAAACTTACTACATAAATTTTCTTAGAAATTTGTGTAAGTAATTCATAAAACTGCGTTGAATTTGGAATAATAATTTAATCGTGTTTACAGGAAGCAAAAGTACCTGTTTCCGTTCTTACAAAGCAAAGATCATTAACAGAAAGACAGCAGGTAAATTTTAGAGACAAATGCTCTCTTTCGCTAAAACATAGCATATTATCAGATAAGCTAGCCGACATAAATGGTACCTTATAGTTTTCGTATGTCTTGTTAACAGGAAAGTCATGATGCGTTGCTCAAGTGTCTTACAGAAGATAAACGTTTCGAGAAGAACAGACCAGCAGTTTCTTGTATTGTTTATAAAGCACTTCTTCATTGGAGGTCCTTTGAAGCAGAGAAGACACAGATATTTGATAAAATTACTCACACTATCCGAACATCTATAGAGGTATAATCTTCCAAGAATTATAAGCTCGATTTAAGCCTTATCACGATATACCAAAATAAAATGATTGAAAAACTCATCAACTCATGTTGTTTTGAGAAATTAGATTACCATTTTATGTTTTTGGCAGAATCAAGAAGGAATCAGTGATCTGGCGTATTGGCTTTCAACAACATCAACACTTTTGTTTTACCTACATTGCACACTAAAAGTCAGCAATACAACTAATACACTGTCGCGTAATCGTAATCGTAACTCTCCTGCCACACTTTTTGGCAAAATGGCACAGGTAAGCTTTGAAAAACTGGAAAACTTAAGTGCATTAAATCGATGTTCAAACCATAACGGTGTTTGTGATATGCAAAACCAGGGTTTACGTTCATCTTCAATGGGCATAGGGATATCGAGTGGTTACAGTGGCATGGCGGAAAAGCCAAATGAACAATCTAAAGTGGAAGCAAAGTACCCTGCTATTCTATTTAAGCAACACTTAACTGCATATGTGGAGAAAATATATGGAATGATCCGTGACAGTTTAAAGAAAGAGATTAGTCCATTCTTAAATCTTTGTATTCAGGTAAACATGTGTATGAAAAACTTGTGCAACAAGTAACTGGAACTAGTTTATTGGGGCAGCGTTTGAAGTACTTTATTAATGAGCACTGACGAAAGTGATTTGGAGAACTTACGAAAAATAGCTTATGAAACTCATTGAAAAAAAAACAGCTTAACTAAGCACTTAAGCTCATATAAATGTCTTAACACCGTTGACAGGCACCAAGATCCATAAGATCCAGATCGATAAGAGGGTCATCCAGAAACATCCATTCAAATATAGTTGCGAAACAACAAGCATTGCATATGCACTGGAAAGGCATTGTGAGCAAGTTAGATCATGCCTTTGGTATATTGTCTGACAACTATGTAAGAATGAATCACTTTCCTATTCTCTTTGGTTGGATTATGCTAAACAGACAAGATATTTCTTAATATTCTATACATTCTTCGGCTTCAGGTCCCTCCGATGATAACAAGGAAGATATTTAGTCAGGTTTTCTCGTACATGAATGTTCAACTATTTAATAGGTGAGCTGAAATTCCACTCGTATTTAACATCGAGGATTAATAAAAGTTGACTCAATTTCATCTCATGAAGTTACGATGATAACTATGGTCTCGCAGTTTGTTGCTTCGTCGCGAGTGCTGTTCCTTTAGCAATGGAGAATATCTGAAAGCAGGTTTGCATGAGTTGGAACTATGGTGTATAAAAGTAACCGATCAGGTAATGTTAAATCATTTTCATACTCTATGACTAAGCCAAACAATGCAGAAGTTCAAGACTCATTTTCTCCGTATTTTCTGTTGTACTTTTGTTTACTTTGCAGTTTGCCGGGTCGTCTTGGGTTGAACTCAAACACATACGCCAAAGTGTTGGATTTCTGGTATACTTTCTTCGATAATGGTTGAAGATAATGATTTTCTTTCCCTTTTTCTCACTACTTAACTTTTAAAATGCTTTGCCATTGCAGGTTTTGCATCAAAAGACTCAAAAATCTTTGGAGGAGATCACAAATGAACTATGCCCGGTAATGTAACTAACTCAAAAATCTTATGGTTTTCTATTGAGAATGAACTTAACATTGAGTATTAGCTATGAAGTATTGACACAGACTCATACACGACACTAACACATACAACATTAATAATTTGAGAAAATTGAAACGATTGAATGTAATTGCATATGTCGTTATCAGACACCGTGCATGCTTCAACTTGAAGTGTTAGGCCTACATAGAATTTTATCAGAATCACATGTTCTAGAAAAGAGGAATGATTCTAATTAATGTAATCTATACCTTTTTTTTTTGCTTAATTGTTGACTCAATTAGGTGTTAAGTATTCCACAAATATATCGCATTGGAACCATGTTCTGGGACGACAAGTATGGAACACAAGGATTATCTCCAGATGTAAGCCCTTATCTCCTCTATTATGTTTACCTATGCTGCATAAATTTTGATCACACTTTCAAGATGAGATTCGTGTACAAAATGGATACACAGTAGATATTCGTATCGATTGTGTTTAGTTTTGTATCGAATCAAATACAACTCGCATGTATTGTAAGATAGTGATAACCATGCAACATACCCTAAATTCTGTGGAGAATCACTTATTTCAACATACATAAGAATAAATATAAGTGCTTAGTATGGTAACTTAATTATGCATTAGATAAATTCCAAATAACAACTTAGTTTCATTCACTTACTTCTTTATTTTTACAGGTCATTAGCAGAATGAGAGTTCTTATGACAGAAGACTCAACAAACATACTCAATAACTCATTCCTTCTAGAAGTAGAATCCAGGTGATTAATAATTATTAACATTCTTTTCCTAACTCTTACTTACCATTCAAAGAAACAAAACTTTTCTGACAAGCTATTTCACCTGTTCCTTGCACAAAATTCAGCATTCCATTCTTAATGGAGGAGTTGTTTCGGTCCATGAGCGACATTCGAATATCAGATATGGATGTGGATCCACCAACAATCCTTAGACAAAGATCTGATTTCCAATTCTTGTTGCAGCATATCGATAGTGACTCCCAGTGAGGTAGTGAAAGTTTTGTGCTTGCAATAGATAGTTTTAGTTTCTGATTTTTTTTATTGGTTTGATTGGGTCTGGTGTGGTGAGAGTGATTTTCAGTGGTGAGATGAAGAATTCGTAATTATTTTATATCATTTATTCTTATTTTTTTCATTTGTTTTTGTGAAGTTTCAATTTTTGTTTTGTATTCTTGTAAGGCTTCTTGTCAAAGAAGGCCTCAATTAATTTTGACATTTGTTGTATAATGTTACTTGAAAAAGAAATGTGGAATGAAGGAATGCTTGGATTTAGTTTAATTAGCAAACTTGTGATCAAATATTGGTTATATAAATGTTAACATCTAATATCAACACAAATAACAATAAGTACCATGTTTGTTAAAAAAAAGTGATTCTATAAATTTAAAAAACTTTATAAACATAAATCTTATGTTAATCCCGTGTCGGCAAACCGGGCAATTTTTCTTGTGCTGGTCCATGGCAACTAGCAGACATTTTCTACAAAAGGTGTGACCGCAATGGCTCAAAGAATATATTCAAACAAATCTGTTAAAGTGAAAGAACAAAAATCACTATCACATTCACAACATGAGGAAACAAAGTTTGAAAATAATTGAAGTTTAAGAAAGAATAATCACAAGACTTACAGTGCAAATAAAGTCCTCCCTAATTTTCTCAATGCAACAAGGAAGTGTAGAATGAGTGGAAGACAAGTCGGAATCCATTGTTGAAGAAGACGAAACGTTGCTGCAACCGAAAATTAGCAAGGACTGACGATAGACACGGCGATGCAAAGAGTGTTTAGGGATTTTGTAACGTTGATCTGAAATTTGTGATTTTTTAGTTAACAAAATATATTTCCTTGTGAAGCTCCCGCTTATTTTTTAAACAGTTTTATTCTCTCGTACTTATTTTTCATCTAAAAAACACTGATATATAATATTTTTTAAATACTACTATGTTGGTGGCATATATGTTGGTGACTTGACTTAATAAAGGTTAAAGAATCATTTTTCATGTTATTTAATAATTTTTATAATTTGTTTATTTATTAAATAAATTAAAACTTATTAATACTATAGTATTTATCAAGTTTAGAAATTAAAATGAAAACTTTTCGGAGTGAGAGAACATGAACACATAAATTAAAGATAAATTCTAAATTTACTTTATTCTCTCGTCTCTAAATTTTTTTGTTAATTCTCTATAATTATGATTGACATTAATTTTAGTAAAACAAATTTGATAGCCACATGTTAAATAAGATGTTCTAACTTGTAGAGAAACATGTTGAACAAGATATCCTATCTAGATGATCTGACATCGTGTCTGTTACAACTGTGCACTTGGATATATTTGGTTTATAACTGATTCTGAAGATTCTGAGAATATTATGTTATCCTAAATGGCGTCTAAGATTGAGGAATAAAAGATTTTATTTGAAAGTCAAAGATTATTATATTTTTTTAAAATGTGAAAACATTTTAGGAAACACTTGATTGATGACCTATTGTTATGCAAAAAATTATGGAGACTTTTAGCCGCTGTCTTGCTGCATTTTTGAAACCCAAATCCAATCCAGACTCATGCTTATAAATAGAATGGCTCAAACCTAATTTTGTGTAGAACGTGTATTATTGTTTTATAGTTTGTATGTTAATTGCGAGCCTCTCTAATATCATCTTGGTAGAAGAGAAGGATTATCTCTATTGAGTTATAAGTTCTATTAATCATTCATAAGCTTTTAAGTATTGAGTGATTGTGTGTATTTGAAGTGTGACTTCTAAAATATTCAAGTTGTTATTGTTTTCATCACTGTTACGATTGAAAGGGAATTAATAAGGGTCTCATACCTAGGTGAGTCTTAGGTAGAAGTTAAGCACGAGTAGTGATTAAGTGAGTAGATTCTAAACTGGGGATAGCTTGATGTGGGTCTATAAACTGATACTATTTAGTGGATTTCCTCTCTAACTTGGTAGCCCCTAGACATAAGTGTTTTTGTACACCAAACTAGGTTAACAACTTTGTGTGTTTCCCTTTTACTTTCAGTACTCTTATCAATTTTTATATTGTCATTGTATTTTGATCAGATATCAGTGTCTCGACATCTCTTAGGACATTTCATATCTGTGTACCAGAATTTCAATTGGTATCAGAGTAAGCATCCTTCTCTGTATCTGGGTGTGATTCATGGAAGATACTTTTTGGTACAATGAACAAGGAAGGAGGATTTATGAACAGACTACTCATTCTTGATGGAATCAATTATGACTATTAGAAAGCTTGTATGGTGGCTTTTGTAACACCCGTAATTTAGTTAATTATTTAATTAAATTATTTTTGGATTATTTGTGAAGTTGTGTTATGATGATAGTTGATGTGTTGTTATTATTGGATTTATTTATTCTATTAAGTTGTGGAATAATATTATAATAGTAATATTATTTGATGTGGGCTTATTTTAAGGACTAGAAGTAGTAGAAAGGGGGTGTAGGAGTTTTAAGCCCAATAAGACATAATGAGAATTATAGGGTTATTATATTAGTTATTTAGAATTAATATGGAAAATAAGTAGCAGTAAGAAGAGAAAGAAAATAAGGGTTAGAACAGAACGTGAAAGTTGCAGAAAAGAAGGAAAAGAGCCAGAATGGAATTCAACCAGAAAAGTTATAAAGCAACCTTCAATCAAAGGTAAGGGAGGGGTTCTGACTCTATAATAGAGTTTATGATGAGTAGTATGTGGGATTAGATGTGAAAGGTTGTTTTGTTTATGATTGAAATGTATATATATATATTGTTGTTGATGAGGATCAATGATTTAGAGATGAATAATGATGCCCTAATGTTGTATAATTGATGTAGAAACATAGGATTATTGTAATTTATGATTACTGTGATATGGTGGGAGAACTGACTTGGATGTTTTGCATTTTATCGCAAATGTTGCGGTTAGCAAGAGTCGTCACCGACTTTTCTTTTATCCAAAAGGAAAGGCTGAAAAGAACATGAAAGACCTTTGAGATTATTTCTTGAGTCTGGGGGGTAAATTATGAAAAGGGAAGGTATTAGCACCCTTTTCATCCATAGTTATCTATGGGCTCTTAGTTGCTTGCTAGATCACTTGCTTTTGTTTGAAAATATGCTTTGTGGTGGTTTTTGAAAGTATTTTGAAAATGCGCCTTCATTTAGGCAAACTTTGTAATAGTTCTCGTTCGTAAGAACGTATACAAAGTGTTGGACTTTTGAAAATGTTTCATGTTTGGAAAATGTTTTGAAAGTGTTTTTTGAAATTTTTTGGTGTTTATTTTGAAAATAAGCAAGGATGTTTGGTTTGAAAGTGAGCAAGCAACTAAGAACAATCTACCTACTCAAAAATCTTTGTTCATTTCTTCCTTTCCTTTGATATTGCTATCTTACCATTGATTTAGTAAGAAGTCTTATCTTTGGATGTAAAGGAACGAGTGTGGGTCATCGTATTGTCATGATAGGAATGTTGTAAGATATCTTAGCATTTCTCTTTGAGGGACTAAGATCATTTTGAAATGCAACATTTTGTAGCGTCATCGAGGGACTATGATCTTGTATTTCTGATTGCTTTTTGCTAAGACATCTCACATGCATAACATGGCCATTTTTGTAAGGCGACAACGTGGAATTACCCTAAGGGTGCAAGTGTGCAAATGTGTTTGATTTACATGCATTATTTATCTTGAATTAGGGTTTACTAATTGTTGATTTTAGTCTTTCCATACAAACCCTAATTACTAGCATTTATATTAAAGCGATAAATTACGGAAAGTAAAAATTACTACTGATCTTACCTGATCAGACTTGGACCGTCACGACTGGCTCCGAGTTGTAGTTGAACGAGATGGGGGAGGTACCTGCAAGGCACTCTGATGCTAAAGTAAGTGGGAGTATAAGCAGGCCAAAAGTATGAGTGTGGGTAAGAGAATGAATACCTGACCCTCTGGGAACATAGGGTATTTATAGCCCCCAGCACTGGGCCAAGGTCCCTTCATTGGGCCGGGCAGGTTTGGCCCAAATGAAGGAACAGCCAGGTTCTACGTGTATAGTGGGGACCCGCACGTGGTCTCCTTCCTGGGTGTTCTGCGAGAAGTACGGGCGGACGGGGACGCGGTCTTTTCGGAAACCAGGTGGTGGCGTAACGGTCATGGTCTGCCCTACGAGGAGCGCTCGAGCTAAGGTCGAGCTGGACTGCATTGCGTCGAGGATGTCGTGGACAAGGTTGTACCTTCTTGGTCGGCGTGACTCCCAGTAGGGCCGTTTGGATTGGGCCTTCATCCTTGCTTTTGGGCCAGCCCGGCCCAGTCTAGAACAGGATCCCCCCAAGTCGTGGTTCCTGGAGTAGGAGCCATGACTTGATCTTAGATCGCCTCCGCCACGGGGTCCCGTGCTTGGATAAGAGATGTAGTTCCCCGTTGTTTGCTCGAGGAGTTTCCACTGTGTCGGGCTCGTGAGATAATTCCTTTCGAGGATTGCTCGGGGGAACCTCGACGGGCTGTGTTCGTTGAGCATGCGAGGCATCTCTTGGGAACCGTGCCGCCACCCTACTAACGATAGGGTCATCATTGCCTAGGGGAGCTACGTGTCGATGAGGGAAGTTTTGTGGTTCCCCGGGGTGACGTTTCGTATTTCACATCATCACTATAAATAGGGTCCTTGGGACCCAGAACATGTTTTTCCTCTTTGCGCTTCTCCTCTTTCCTATGCCTCTGCTGCTGCTGTTCTTCCCAGATATTTATAGGACCGCAGTGATCTCCGTCGCTGATTCCCTTTTCCGCCGTCGCACCTCTTTCCTTATTTCAAGTAAGTGTCTTGTCCTCTTTGCTTTTCCTCTGTGATGTATGATATTTTTCATTGTTTTTAGACGTTAGAGACTGTACGCCTGGGAGTAGCCCCGGTAGATTCGTATTTGGCTCGTCAAATCCATGTTTATGCCCGGCGAACGCATGTTTGCGCCCGGTAAACGCATAGTTTAGGTA